TTTGGACTTTGCAAACTTTGGATTTCTGAAATCCTGGATTCTTGGAATTCAGGTCACTTTAAATTTTGGATTTCTGAAATTCTGGATTTTTCACATCAAGGATTCTTCAAACTCTAGATTTCTGAAATCTTCAAATTCTGGATTTCTGCAATCAAGGACTCTTCGTACTCTAGATTTCTGAAATTTTCAAATTCTAGTTTTCCAGAACTGTAAATACTCCTAATTCTAAATTTCTGAAGTATCAAATCTTTAAATTCTTCACATCTTCGATATCTAAGCTTTAAAACTCCAAGATTCCAAATTTTGAAAGCTTTCTACCGATTAAATAGCATTAAGATTGTCTGAAAATTCTTGTCTGCTTTTGCAACCACTATAGCGGCGATTCCAATATCATGACGAACGATGTTGAGAGAAAATCGATCGTTATCAGTCACGGTGAAAATCTGAAAATTCGAAAACCGCTAGGATAGTCGCAAGTGAGAACCGAGCAAATTGCGACCTGCTACGGAGCAACGTTAATTAGATTCGATTTTTCGCAGGGAAGCACGGTACAGTAGCGAGAAAACGTGTCAGTACAGAAAATGTGTCAGCGAGCGTACAATCTGGAACAATGAAATTAATGAAAATAATTGTTCCTCATTAAAAATTCTATTAAATCCTTCGTTTAAAGGCGTCATTTAACAATTTTCAAAAAGAAAAAATTATAAGAAACTTGATCTATGAACATGTGTACAGAAAAAATGTAACCCTCTGTTTTATAGTAGAGGAGAAGGTCTAAATATGGGCTACTTGAAGTATTGAATATGTTAAGTGCTTGACCCTATTGAAAATAGGACGAAACTACGAGTAACGAACAAAATAAGTGTTCTGAAGGAGATAGTGACCTACATTTATTTTGTTTACGTATTGTGTTGCAACTCTTATTCCGCTATTTCAAAACATTTTTCAGGTAAGTTCGTTTTATTGTTTCAGCAATGATCTATTAAACTCAGAGCTAATTAACTAAGAGTGCTACATTGCTGACATTGTAAGTTTCTTTTTAGTGCAACTTTTGTAATGAATATCATCGCGTAGTAACGAATACCATCGCTTTAAGCGTTCCTGGCCAAATGATCTAAATATGGGCTACAAAGCTAGTAGCCTTGTGATATTGGCTAATACGAGCTAGCCAATATTAGAATTCGGTGACTGAGAATTGTAATAGAAAAAATACCAAAAATCTTGAGAAAGATATATACGTTTGTAACTATTGTAAATAAATTGTAAATATTGTAAATAGCATTTAAATTTAAGTTTACATTTTTATACGCAGCTAAACCTTATACTTCAACCCAATATTTCAACCTGAAAATATACAGTTCTTACTTTTCATTCCGATTATTTTACGAGTGGTCCATATTTGAACCACATTTCTAAAAATGAAGAGTTTCCCTTTCATTTTAAATATAATTTGCAACATACATTGCTTTTGTTCAGCTTAGTTTGATTTTATATCATACAGTAAACATGTTATTGATACATGTTCAAGTGTTATATCTTAAAAATCGTCCACAGGTTTGACAATAAATCCTGAAATAAAAATGATAGCCCATATTTAGATCTTCTACTCTAACGAATCAAACTCGTTGTGCAGATCATTGTCAAGATATTACAAAAGAATTATTGTACTTCTAATAAACTTGAATTTTTATAAGTTCAACTTTATCTTCAATTTATGCTTTAATCGTAACAAACACAAATTATACGTATATAGTATTTTAACTTCGGTATATTTAATTCAAACGTGGTAGGCATAAAAAATCGTAAGGCAAAGGGTTAAGGGTAGAATTTTATCGATGGTATTGTTTTCATGAGAATGAACGATGATGTGGAAACTGTAAATAATATCAGAAATCGCACGAACCGAACTTGCCTTAATCTAACTTAAGAATTTGGATCTTTGACAGAGGAATTGTGTTAAGAATCGATGCTTAGAAGCAAAAGACTTGGAATTTCCAAATTAATTTAATCGAGCATTTAATCTGATTTAAGAAATTACACTAACAAGGGAACATTCTAAAGTGATAATCACCGATTTTGATTTAGTATGTGGTAGATCTCAAAAAAATATTTGACACGTACTTTTTTTTATCGGCAATCGTACACATTAATGGAGTGAAAATTGTCCTCAAAGTTTGGAGTAGTAAACATGTTTAGTCCAATATCTCGATAACTATTAGAAATAGAAGGGTGGTGCAAGTTGACGAAATTTGTATTTCCGAACGACGAATGTGACTGTTTAAATAGATTTGAAAGAAGTCCATTTGTTTAAATAATGTATTAGAAATTATAAGTTTTTTGTTCATATTTCCGGTAAAATATTCATCGATTTTCACGTAAATTTGTGTATATAAATTACATTTACAAGCAGAAAATACGGATAAATCAGAATTTTTATTTTCTTATTTTATTATACAAGTGTTGCTGTTTGAAGTAAAATATTGCAACATTCCATTGAGAATCATCGATCGTTATTAAACGAGATTTAAAAAGATTCCTGAATTATCCATCGAAAATCTCGTTTTTGTTTTTCCCAACAGTTAAATTCATGATGCATTCCTCTCGACCATGGATTAAATCGTATCTCGGCGAGAAACGCGCTTCCGCTGCCGCGTCTCGTTCAATTATCAAACGTTTACCCTGACCCGACGAAGGAACATATTTGAGTTTTCTGCGCGGCCTAATTAAACACGAAAATGGATTATTAAATTCGACCGGCATGGATCATAATTCGAGGTTTATCCGTGTGTGAACCTAGAATAATCCAATAGGTAGAGGGAAACGCGATCAAACAAAAACTAATATGATTTCCCTGTTTCATTCCAACTCTTTATCGAATTAACTCGAGCATTCCGCATGCCAATCTACACTGTTGTTCAAAAGTTTTGGACCACTGGGAGTTACGAGGTGTCTACATATGTAAGAATTTTCGGAAGAAAGTAAATTGCTATTAAAAAATAGATATGATGAAAAAACAATTTATAAATAGTGCACGGTTTTGATATGACAAAAAAATTAGTAACAGAATCAATCTGTCAGAATATCGGTGTAAATTGATAAATGGTCCTAGACTTTTGATAAATAGCGCATAAGGGTGGTCTCATTTGTAATGAATAGACTGCGGATTTTTATGCATTTATGGAAAATTTGAAAACACAAAAATACAGAGAATGCACATAATAAGCAAAAATATATAAATAATCCTAAAATATAGTACTCGTTATGATATTTAGCGAATAAAACAGTTACCTGTCTAACTTCTATTTCTTTAATTATATTCACGAAAATATGAGTTTGCATAAAAATCCGCAGTCTAATAATGAATATCTAAATTGTTTCTGCTGGCATTGAAAGTAAGAAAAAAATGACTAAGAGGAGTTTATATGATTTTAAGACACGCATCTAATGATGATAAAAAAGACCCCCTAAAGTCATCTTGAATGAAAGTTATTCTAATGTTATTAACCTTTTTTCTTCACTGTTTTTGGTCACTTTGAGGTTGAATTCGTTTTGACGTTGGCTACAACTTATATTATAAAATATGGATGTTAATGTGCAAAAAGAAGTTGATAATTTTGTAATGGCCTTCAAGATGACCTTTTCTTTATGATCACCAGATGTAGTGATTAGTTTTACTTTTTCTTACTTTCAATAGCAGCGGAAATAATTTAGACGTTCATTATAAATGAAACACCTGGTAT